GAGTCATAGGTATGGCAGGGTCTTGGGATGATGTCCGGTACTTCAAGCAATAGTTTTGTTCTTTCAGCTTTATTCCCTCCTCCACCCTCTGAACCATTTCTGTCCCATGTTTTATCCTTCTATACTCAATAGTGGTGCTGGGAAATGATGAAAGAGCATTCATTCCCACAGTCATCACACCAAGAATTTTTCCATTACACTGAATGAGAGCAAGGACATCCCTTTAACGGTGAAGCATGTTGAAACGTCTGACAGAAATGCCTCTGTAGTTGCAATATATTTGTAGTGGCTTCTCAGGCTTGTCTGATCAACAGAGGGAGCAGGACTCCGAAGGGATGAAAAGAGGCTGGTTAGCAGAAATGTAGTGTCAGAGGGAGCCACTGGTATAATTTGTCTTTGGAAGCACGGGTCAGACAATACAAAGATGCACACAGTGTGAACCCAGACAGACAATATTTCTAAAATCATCTTCTCTCTGTCTAACTTGATGCTATACTCAGACACATCCTGTCTCGCACCAGACAGATACATTGTGTTCTGGTATTTTCACCAAACATTATTACAAGTTAAGAGCTATCTGCATAAAAATCCTCTAGATGCGATCTCTCATCTGCACAGGGTGTAGGAAAATTGCATATCCTCTGTGCTCCCTACTGATTTTTCTTACCCATGAATGGCATTAACTTGATGCTATACTCAGACACATCCTGTCTCGCACCAGACAGATACATTGTGTTCTGGTATTTTCACCAAACATTATTACAAGTTAAGAGCTATCTGCATAAAAATCCTCTAGATGCGATCTCTCATCTGCACAGGGTGTAGGAAAATTGCATATCCTCTGTGCTCCCTACTGATTTTTCTTACCCATGAATGGCATTCAATAATTAGACTTTGCTTCTTTGTAGTGGCTGATAGGGGTACCCAACCCGGCTTCATTTCATACCAACTTCTGTTTCTTCCCCATATAAACTTGCTACAAGACAGGTGGCACATAAACACTTATGTCAAAAATGTTTCTTGGGAAACTCAGATAATGGATGAAGTCTGTGTGCCAGAGCCATTGCTTAAAATTTGCTTAAGGCTTCACTGGAGACACTGAAGAAACAAGGTTAGCCAACAAATATCCTTCTGTGGCTGCACACCAGAAACTACCCAGTTTCTCGCTGGCTTATCTTAAGACTCAATTATGAAATTCTCAACTACAACTTTATTTTATTTTACTTTATTTTATTTTATTTTATTTCAATGCAGTTCTCAGAAAATGAAAGGAAGTGGAATATTGACTTTTTACCCACTTTTGAAGACCTTCACCAAAAACGTTTCTGCTTTGCTTCAGACATTGCTGGGGTTTTAACTGGGGTTGCTGCATCTCCCACCTCAGTGGGTTTAGCCTCACACTCTACTTTAGTCACTGTCTCTAAACTAAGGAGGCTCAGGGTTTTTTTCACACAGATGATTTTCAAGGTCTGTTCTTATTGCATTAATTCATGGTGAAAATACAATTCATGGTGGAACCTGCTTTGGTACATTCTGCAGCCTTGGCTCTCTGGAAGTAGGGATCGGGCAGAGCTGCTGATTTGCTTGCCAAGACTGATCAAGCCTAAGGGCAGCCAGAATGAGAAAAGTCAAGGTCAGTGACAGAGCCCTGCAGCACCCTGCATCACGGGTGCAGCTGAGCCCTTAACCCAACTTTACGGAGGACTGTAACTACAGATTGCTCCAAGCTGTTCCCAAGGAACATGCCCAGGAATTATGGGCTAATTCTTGTCAATCTCTGCATTATTTCCCAGTAAATGCTGAGCTGGGCTGGTCATGGGCTGCGATCAAGCAGCAGCAACAGCTCTGTTGTTATCAGCTTCATGCTTCTCCTGTCGTTTACTCTGCCTCAGTGGGTATTGAGGCTGTTTTTAGCCCCTCCATTGTCCATCTGTTTCTTTTGCAGGAGCTCATCACTGCTTGGTACATCGGGTTCCTGACACTCATCCTATCCTCGTTTCTTGTTTATCTGGTTGAAAAAGATGTTCCTGAAAAGGATGCTAATGGGGTGGAGATGAAGGAAGAGTTTGAAACTTATGCAGATGCACTGTGGTGGGGGCTGGTAAGTGACTCCAAAAATACCTTATCTAAAAACTTCCTAACCAAGATAAGATAAAATATTGATGTTGGGGATCACAGTAGTGCTGCTATTCTGGGGTGAGAGACATGTTACTTTCACCATAACATTACCAGAGTAAGGATGCCCTTAGAACCAATCAGCAGAACTTATAACACTGTTGATTTTCCCTCAAAGGCCCTTAGGTGCTTAAACCTCCTTCAGAAATCAGTCTGTGCTGGTTTCTGGGAAACTACTCTTTTAGATGGGTGTCTTTTGATGTATAACTTCACTGGTAGAACATATGCCTATGGGAAACTTTGGTCTCATGACAGTATCCCGCCTGTAAGAGCTACATCTCTCAGAAAATGGCAAAACCAATGGAGTGTTCTGTTGGGCTACCAAAGTGTATCAAAGGCTTGGGCAGTATTGGTAGACACTCAAGCAAGTTTGGTCTATAAAGAACCAGTGACTGAGAATGTCTCTGGATTCAGATACAGGAAGTAGAAAAATGTTTCTGGAAAGGATAACTCAACAAGTCTCTTGTGTCTTAACATGCATACCCCAAAATCACTCAGGGTGTGGTACTGGTGGTAGAATACTGAGCAAGAGGGACCTTTGATACATCTGTTCTTGCCTCTTCTGATGAAGAGTGGAGTATTGGTTTGCACCACTGCTCATTTCATCACAAAATATTCCTGCCACCTGGTAGACAGAATTCATGTTGCTTTGCTACCATTAGTTAGGGAAGTCCATAACATGCTGCGACTAAACTTCAGTAGCTTATTTTTTATTTGATGTAGTTCACTCATAAATGGCAAGATCCCTCCCCCCAGTATTAATCAAAAGGTCCCAAATGTTGCATAGAACACCTGGGTATTTTTTTTATCCTTTCATATCCAGTACATTCAGGTAGATTCTCACTGGTGTGAAAAAGTACGTAGTTGGAAATGAGCAATCATAGAGGAAAGAAGCAAGTTTTCACAACTTACTTGCAAGCTATTAACTGCCAAGCCCCATTCCTAACTGTGCTCTGATGGTGGGCAGGAAACTCACTCCACATGGAATGTCACATAGAGTTCCTTTTCAGCAATTGCACCCTAGAGAGGGAGCTGCTTTGGGACTAAATCCACTCTCCCTGTTGCGACACCTCTGGACGACGATGCCATTAAAATAATTGGTTGGCCCATCATCAAGATCCTACTTGAGGAGGCTGCACGAGCACCCACAGAGCTAAATGAGCTATGCAGGTTTCATGGTGGCATTTAAAGCAGAGCTGTTGGCTTTGTTTTTCTTATGGAAAGTCCTGGTCATTCTACCCACAGATCACCCTCGCTACAATTGGGTATGGCGACAAGACCCCCAAAACATGGGAGGGACGGCTGATTGCAGCTACTTTCTCTCTCATTGGAGTGTCTTTCTTTGCTCTTCCTGCAGTAAGTACCTTCCCCCTCCTCTCTTAGCCACAGCCCACTGCTGTACACTTGCAATATGAAGGTAATTAAAACTGCCAGTGGAATCAAAATCCCTTTTTAAGACGTGATTCAGACACTTGAGCTGGTCTAGATCAGTAAATTAAACTCCTTTCTTCCCAACTTTGCATACAGCCTATTGGAATATGATATACCAATACTCCTTGAACCATGTGTGGGCATTGTCTGAGACAGTGCTACTTGGCACAGGACAAAATTGATCCAGCAAGTGAACAGCCTGGGCAGTCACAGGGTGTTTCATGAGCCTGTATCCTGGCCCAGGTTAGTTTACTGGTACTGACATAGCCACACAAGATGTATTTTTAAAGGATTTGGGGCCTGTTTTAAGAATTAGGGTTGAGTCCACCTTACCCAGCTCTAAAGGCTTGCAAGCTGGAGATCTACATGTGAGTAATCATCACAGACCAGTGGTCATCCTTTATAACCAGTGCAGCTGTGCAGAGCATTTCATGTCAACTGTTTAGGGAAATAATCCTAGAAAAGATCTCTGACACCAGCATGGAAGTGCCATTTCTACCCACTACTAAGATTAAAGGGAATTTAGATAGCAGATGGCAGTACAGGTATTTTTGACCTAGCCAGGTGAATCCTCCTCTGGCTACTTAAGGAATTATCTCTAAATTACTTTTGAAAGTATATCTGCTTTCTTGTGTTAGCTGACCAGATATTTGCCTTGTCTGCGAAGTCCTCAGGTTAGAGTGAGACGAGATCTGGGTGAGATGGGCTGAGTAGCAACAGAAACCATCCCAAGTCCAGATTTTAGGATATTTTTCCTTTACATCAAGACATAGAAAGAATTTCACAGAGGATGGGAAGTCCCACACACCCAAATCCAGCGTATGACTAGCATAGCTCTTTTATCACACAAGCGAAGTTTCACTCTACCCTGAGTGGAAAGTAATAAACCAGCTGCATGCCTCCAGCTTGGAAGGCAGTAGACATTCAAGAAACCTGTTGAGGACCTTAAGATGATTTGGTGTAGCCTGTGGTCCTTGAGACGATCATGGCAACCTTTATGTCTCATGAGCAGAGCAATGGGAATGGCATGCTGCACTTCACAAAGCTTCCCTGTAGCCATCTCCATCTCCAGCCACAGGCCTGTTTCCTCTCATCATTAATCCATTCTTTTCTGAGTAAGAAATACCTAAACTCTTGCATCCCTCTATGCTTTCAGGGCATTCTGGGCTCAGGGCTGGCACTGAAGGTCCAGGAGCAACATCGTCAAAAGCATTTTGAGAAAAGAAGAAAGCCAGCAGCTGAACTCATCCAGGTTTGCAACCACTTATCCCCTCCTTGAGAAAGTGTTGTGTATGAAGACTGCTACATCATGTTAACAAGGGCCACCACTTCCCCCCTTCCCGAATTCTCATTTCCCATTGCAGGAGGTGAGAAGCTGTGTTTGTAGAAAAGTTAGGGTTTTTTTTTCACAGAGAGTGAGATAATCCAGAGGTCCTTGCAGTTTCTGAGGAATCTTTCAATTCCTAGAATATATTTCAGAAAAACAGCCTCTACAGTGTCTTTAGTGTCTTTTCTCATCTTCCAGCTTCTGGAAACCAACCAACTTCTGCATTAGCGCCACGAAATCACAGAAAACAAGCTGTCGAAAACATATTCTTTCCAGAATCCAGGTTTTGTCAGTTCCCTTGAGAGGGTGCTTTTATGTGCAAACAAAGTTGTGTTGTTATTGGTATGAAAACAGCAGTACAAATAACACAATAGACAGTGACTGTTTCAATCAAGGCAAATGATGTAAATAGTATGTTGTAAAAACTGAAACACCCCCTGGAGCTTCTGTTATGTCACTGGGCAATCAGAGGGTTCAATGGGAAGAGACTCCTTAGCTCACTTGGATCTCAGTTATGGCCTTTGCTACCAATTCAGAAAAAGAAGCTTAAAATTACTAGTTCAGGGGCTGACAAATTTGACAGGAGTTACTTTTAGGTGTGGAGCACACACTGGTGGCAGTGAAGTAAATGGCAGCATTTCCACAGAGGGACAGAGAGAGAATCTGTAATATCAGATGGAAGCGCTGTTGTTCAGGACTGCTCAGGATCAAGCCAGCCCTCAGAAGAAACAGGCTGAGTGGCGTGTTATGCTGTTCTCATTAAAACCACTCGTTAGCAAACAGAATGGGCTGCAGGGATGAGCTGTGAATTGAATTCACCTTTTAAATTAAAGCATCTCCACTTAGCAGGAGCTAATATAGCTACAGTATTTTTTAGGTATGTGCTTAGAGAAGTTTGATTAGAGCTAAATGCTGAAATAGAAAATTGCTCAGCAAAATTTCCTGTGATGATACTCTAGATGGTAAACTAGCTTAAGCCAGAAATAGTGGACAAGTCCAGCAGTGCTTGAAGCTCTTTTAGATACACCAGACAGGAGAATAAAACAAGTTTAGTCAAATGTCATGTCTTGTTGATGGTGGTAGTTCTGTCCATGTCCTGTTTCCTTTAACAGCCCTCCCATATCATAATCCAGTGTCAATAATTTTTCCATATAGTGACACTCATTTGTTATGGCTGATTAGGAACTAATCTCTAGATAATTATTCAGGTGCGTTGTTATGTTCTTTGAAACAATCTGGCTGCTGTCAGCTTGGGGAATAGCTTCACCTAACACTAATTATTTCCTTTCCCTGGTAATTCAGGCTGCCTGGAGATACTATGCTACTAACCCCAACAGGATTGATCTAGTTGCTACCTGGAGGTTTTATGAATCAATTGTATCATTTCCATTTTTCAGGTAAGTGCATTGTCCACCTCCCTATTTTCTGTGAAGTAAAAGGACAGGAAACATAGACTTTATATACATCAGTGAGGCTTTCGTAACTAACCAGTAGCTGCCAGTTAAATTCCTTGCTGAGAATGAAAGACATGCTTTTGGCTTCCGGATTCTTCTGGATTTCTTCTCCCTTCCATTGGTGGGATGTAATAGGGGCACGTGGATTACTTCATCAGTGGTTCTCATGCTGGCATTATACAGAGAAGGCTGCCTCACCATCAGCTTCCATTTGTAAGATTCAGGAGTTTGTTGCCCTGGAAATCTCAATTTCTCCCTCTGTAATTTTGCTACTGATAAAGTTTTATCCCGGGATTTCAGAAGTGCCTGTACTTCTCACACCCTCTATGATGCAGTTGTGTATTTTAAGTTATGAGCCATGCTGAAAAATCTTGCTTTTCCTTCTTTAAATCAACAGGCCTGAGAATTGTGTTGTTCACAGAGGTGACCATGGCATATGAACATCATTTATGCTTGTTAAAGGCTTGTCTTTTGTCAATACCAATTGCTCAAGGGGATAATTCAGTGGAGGACAGCCAAAGCATGTTTAAAACTGTCTCCCACTGAAACTATTAACTGAAGGTTTGCAAGAAAACTTGTTTGGGGAGTTGGGGTCATGGTTTTCTTTTAATCATCACTTCTGAGTTCAGTGGAAAACATTCCATACATAAATACATTCAGACTTAATGGATACTCATATGTTTATGGATATGAGACTGATCCTAATTTTTCTTGTCTTTCAAACAGGCACCTTCCTCACCTTGAGGTCTTAACGTTTTAAAATGTTGGCCCTATGAAAACCAAGACTTTTAGCTATAGACTATCAGCTAATAAGGGGCATTATTTACCCGAGTTTATGCTTAAACTTTCATTCTGGACTTGCTGTTATGCCTCATTCTGGAAAAAAGAAAGTGCCCTGAAACTGCTGCTCGGCTCAAACAGAGGTCTTCATGTATAAGTTGTGCTCAATGAACTAATACTGCAGTTCTAGCTGCTGCTCAAAACTGACTTGCAAAAGCGTGTCAGGCTCTTACCTTCACAAAGGGCAAATAAGAAATGCTATCGCTTTGTTATATTCACAATATATTTCTTTAGGATTGATTTCACCTATGTCAAAAAGGAAATTTCTTAAGAAAAAAACACCACAAATGTTTAATTAAGGCTTCTTTTTTGCCCCTTCTCTGTCTATTCCCACATTATCCATTACAAAGTCATTCCTAGAGGGTTTCTTGACCTCAGGTTTTGTTCAGGGAATAATTCTCAGGCTCGCCTGGAGTCTAGACTCATTACTGTGACTTCGAGCTTGGTTTTTGTATGTAGGTTCTTCTGTGATTCAAATGTGACCTGAAATTTAAGAAGTGCTTTGCAAATAAGGTCCTGGGAGAGAGGGAAATGGAGTTTACTTCTCACCAAAGACTTGATTGTTAGTCTAAGCAGCACAGATTGGTTTCAGGAACCTATGTCACTTTCTTTGCTTTATGGCCAGTTGAGAATGTAGCTTTTATTCTGCTATCATAGAACTAAGAGGTATAAGCTATTAGCAATAGATCTGTAATTTATGTTAAAAAAAATCTGCTGAATTTATTATGTAATTCTTCTCTCCTTGTTTTCTTCTGATGCTTCTTCTCTTCTATAAAAGGAAAGAGCAATTGGATGGTACTGCCAGGTACGTAGTTGCCATTATAATAGCCTTGTTTTAAAACAGTTATTGGAGGATGCAGGTTAAATGGTTCTTTGTGGATTCATGAGCTGTTAAGCAAAACATGCTACTAACATCACAGGTAGTCATTAAAAATGATTAACCAATCCATTTCCTAATTGCTTGCTTTTTTTCCCGATTTAACAACACAGCTAAAATACTAATCATATAAATGCAGTGTTGCTTGCTGATTGTCTGTAAACAGCTTTATTGTTTGTTATGATTAATCATAGTCTATATTTCTCCTGATCCATGCCAGAAACCCAGGATTTAACATCCAGATTGTTCTGGAATGACTTTAAAGTTCTGCTTCATGTTATTGTTTAACAGTCCTGTACAGAGCAATGTTGCCATGTAAGGGATCAAGTCTGTGTCAATTCACCATGTGCTAAGATGGATCAGCAGCATAGTCAATCTCTCTGGCAGTACTAAAAAAGATACATTAGTTTGAGGCCTTCGTCCCACCACTGCTGAAACAGATGGGAAAGTTTCTAATCACTTTAGAGGAATTTATAAGCAGAGAGAATGAAGGAATCATCAATCCTAATACTGGTCAGTCACTCAAGACTACAGCAGAGCAGTCATTGCCAGTCAACCTGCAAGGTCTCAGATGGAAATGATGTATTTATAACCCCTTCAGCTAAGCTGCAGATTTAAAAGCACATAAAGTAATTCAACTTCTTAGGCTGAAAACATGTAACACTTAATGCTAAATTGCTACCAATGGATCACCCACGATGAAAGTTAATAGCAATTAAAAGGATGAATAGTTCCTCAGACCTGTGCTTAAGCTGTTTCTATTTGCATCCACATTTACAGCACAGAGAAAAAAAGCAGGAATTGTAGCAAAATTTGGAAGCTGTTAGTCAGTGCTCAAGCCTGGGTTCCAGACCCTGTCCTGATGAAAAGTTACGTTTTTCTTTTTGTTTTTAAACATTTCATACAACACATGACAGCTTCAATAAAGGAAGGGTAGAAAAAACCATTCACACTTGCTGTTCTGCTATGAATTTTTGGGGTTCAAACAGAAAAGAAAAACCTATCCCAAGTTTTCTTACTATACAGGCAAGTGTCCTAGTGCTGAATTATTGGGAGATGTCTTCCTCCTCCTGCCACCATCATCATGTGCTAACCTGCTCCTCTTCAAACACTGCCTGTATGGGAGTTACCTAGTTTGTGAACCCCTATGAATCTTGAGTACTGTACATCCATGACATGCCCAGGCTAAACAGTCATGAGCAAGCTCAGTTGTATTAATGTATATGTCTGAAGATTTTAGCCATCTCCAGTTTGGCAGCAGCTGAAGTTTGCTGTTTAATATGCAGGAGAGAGCTTAGGAGCTAAAATCCTTTCTGAGGATGTAACTCCATACATTAAGCCAAATCGTGTTCTGACTCAGATACAGCAGCAGATTAAAAATAGGCAAGTGAATGATTGCTGCAGTTTGCTGTTGGTCACAGCCTCGCTAGAGAAGCTCCTGCACCTGCAGTGGCAGAACAGTTGGTGGAATAGCTTCTGAGTTAGTGTCTCTTTAAGGTCAGTAGAAGAAGTCATTTTATGTTGACGCACTGGATTAAAAATGGAAAAGAATGACTCACAGCTCAAAATCTGTAAAACTGTAATCCCGAGGCCCCTTATTCTAGCTGGATATATCTTGATTTTATGTTGTGACATATATAATAACCTTCAGCAAAATAATCAGTAAACCTGCATTAGAGCCTTCCTGTTAGCACGAATGTGTTTGTGGAAGTAAGCATTCAATTAAAGGGATTGGAAGCCCTCCAGGTAAACAGACAAATGATGGTGCTTGTGGGAGCATCCACTGACTTCAGTAGACATGGGACTGAGCCATAAAATCTGGTTGTTTTGACAGTACCACCTCCCATCTTTCATAAAACTCTTATTTACAGACCAGATAATTAAAAAAAAAAATCATTTTCCTCCTACAGTGATTTAGTATAGAAAATATTACTCATACTTCATTGCAGTTTGTGTTTAAGGCTCTGTTGAAATAAATGAGCAATAAGGGAACACAGTCCTACTGGAGAGAACAGCCCATGAGTGCACTCAGTCTCCAGGTTCTTGCACCAGTTAAGTACTAATGGGAAAGCTGTGCTAATATACTACTTTGTCTGAATGGTGATTGACAAAGGAGAGAGAAGAATTGGTCCAAAGCTTGCCCAGAAGAGCCAGGAAAATTAAATGGTTAATAAACTAAAAATACAGCCTTTCTGTCTGAAAATCTGAGGATGGGTGGCGCTTTCAGTATCAGGGTTTCTATTCAGTGGTGTGAAGGCTCTTTAGGAACTCCACAGTAATAGAGTTGAAGTCTCTGAGAGATCCTCCTAGGATCAATCTTTGGAAGCAGGAGTTGGCATCATGACAAAGTCACAGCTAGATACAGCTTCTTGTAGTTCTTAGACCATTTGGGAAAAACACAGGGGAGACAACAGAGTGGAAGAGTCCATTTCAGAAGCTGGATCCCAAGGCAAGTCTGCAGGGAAGGACTTGTGCTAGTAGAAAGCCAATTAAAGTTTGGCAGCGGCCCAAGGTTTTATTGAAGCTCCCTTTAAACTAAAACTGTGAAGGTGTGTGATAGGATGAAAAGCACATTGGGCTACCCTTCGGCTAAACAGTAGGCTGGGTTCTGTAAGCAGTGAAGTGGTACACCTGATGCTGCTCTCTCAAGAATAATATTTTCCCTGCATGCCCTCTATAGTACCCTGAACCAGGAGGAACTGGGGTTGTGTTAGTCATTGCTCACTGGTGAGGAGTTTACTGACTTCATGCCAGATATGCCACTGGCTTTTTCTTCCTTAATCAATGCCATAACCTAGAACCCCATGAAATCTAATCCTTCCTATTATTTGAGTATGAAAGAGTGCATATAATGTTGTGCATTTTTGTATTGCCAGTAGTAACAGCATAATGAAAATAAAATCATATTTTTCAAGGTGGAAAATTTCACTGTCAACATTTTTTCTTAATATCTCTGCCCAAAACAGGAAGGAGTAAAAACCCACTCTGATCTGCACACTACATTAACTACAAATGAAAGGCTGTTCCCATTCTTTTTCATAGAGCTTTTCATGGGTGATCATTAACGTCTCATCTTAATAACTTTTCTTCACTTTACAGTAATGTCATGTTTAGTAGGGAGTCATTCTTTGGATCAAGCCTCACAAGAAAACTTAGGTATATACATTCAAGTAACAATCGAGCCTTACTCTTTTCATATTTCTTGCATGCCATTCTCTGCCTGCACTTTCTGTTTTTACTACAGTAGTTCATCTAACCACCATAAAAAGGGGCAATAAGACTGAAAAGTTATTTAAGCATAAAAATGAAGTTGCATGACCTTGCAGATAGTTCATTGTTCTGCTGTTCAGAAAACATGGATATAATCTTGGCTCTGCCAATGACCTGCTTAGAAACAAGTGCTTTTCTCTGTTTCCGTAGAATGAGAATGATACTAACCTACTCTGCAAATAATTTAGAAATTTACTGTAAGAAAAATATACTATAAGAGCTAAATAACATTCCTTATGCAGTCCCAATCCTGCCAACACAAATTCATGCAAGTTACTTTGCATCTGAGTTCAGTAGAACAACATCTCCGCATGTGTATTTGCAGGTTCTGGTTCAGCAAATGGAAAACAAGTGGATGCTTTTGATCATCTGAATAAAGTTAGTGACATGCTTAAATATCTTGCTGAACTGTGACCTAAAATGTGGGGCAAGAACTTTATTTTCCTGCAGAGAGACATAGAAATAATTTGTGATGCTTCAGGAATCTGAAAGACATATCATCAGAAATAATATTTTGACTAAACTGTCAAGCATTTTATTCTACTCCACACCAACATCTTGCTATCATTCAACTTCAGCTTTTTGTTCTCTTTCCCACTTCATTTCACAAACATGAAATCATCAACACACAATTCAGCTTTTCCAGCTGAAGTTCTTCAGCTTTTGGAGAGCTGCTAGTGAAGCACTCCATTTTTCCACTGCATGATTGGCCATGCAAAATATTCAAGAGACATTGATTTTGCAGTTCGTTTTGCCTTCTACTGGTTGATACATGGAGATATGTTCACTGCAAAATAAAGAGTTGGTCAACATCCGTGTGGTTTCTACCTATATTGCTGGCTGCATCCATCAAAATAAAATATCCATCCTGTTTTCACAAAGAGTCAAACTTGGATCATGCTGCCCATGGATTTATGTGACATTGTTTATTTTTACCCATTTCCAATCATTTTAGAAAGTGTGGATGAGAAGAGGGGCTAAGCAAAGGCCTTTAGTGTACATAAGGGCTCTTTCTCTTTCTGAAGGGCATCAAAGTTGAACCCAGGTTAGGACTTGTGTTAATGTTTCTGGGCAAATAATCTGGATGATAGGTGAGTTTGGATTTAGAGTCATGCCTGCTTTTAAATACCAATGAGGACATACACCAGTGGGGGGGTCAAAACTGCATGGCTGAAAAGGGATATTTCCTCCTCAGACATTAGAAACGTGCAAATTTAGACCTCAAGATTCAGGGTGCAAAGTACCTTTTTAAACAAAGACATCAGTTGTCAAGAAGTAGTACTCAATTATTTTGAGACTGAACATTTTTGTGAGATCCTCTCTATGGCAAAGAATATTACTTGGTAAAAGGGAAAGCCAATTGGCCAAAGTTCAACAGTACCTCGGAAGTGTAGAATGCTTTTTGGTTTATATTAAGAAAACTCATGGACTCTCTCAGATCAGTTGAATGTGTTCACTGCAGGATTCATGGCTGCCATCATAATGTTAGTTTTGTGCTGATCTATTTGGAATAGTTCAAAGCAGAATACTTCTGGAAATCTCATCTAGAATGCTTGATTTTCCAAAGCTACGTTCTCTCATATAAGTACAGCTGATAATGTAGTACAATATTGGAGTAAGCATGACTGCCTTTTGCTTCCGGTTACTTAAGACCAACT